TTTTTGGTTTCCTAGAAGTATTTGTAGCCAAATACAATAAAAAACTTTCTTTCACACAAAGCAGCAAAATTGTAAGTGATATTTTTTAAAAGATTCGCAAAGAAAATTTTCGCACATACATATTGGATTTAAACGGATGTTTGCAGCATCTATACAGATATGCAAGAAAAGCAACTTAAAAACCAGATTGAAACTGACTTAAAAACTATAAAACCATTAACACTGTTTCTTAACTTCTTAATTGCTTTACAAGAGAGTTTAAAACCAATTAAAGTTTGTGTTAGGTATAAATAAAGTTGGCAGCATCCTTTCTTCTTAATAAAATCACAGTCTTATACTTTTATTTAGTATTTATGAAGGTCAATAAAAGCCAGAAGAAAAGTCCTTAGCATGCAGTCATTACCAAAAGCAATGAAAATACTAACAAGCTGCTGCCATAACAGATTAACCAGCACAATTGACAACAGCAGCAGCGAGACCAAAAGTCAAATGGCCAATATTAATATAAGAAAGAGCAACAGAACTGTACTGCCAAAGGAGAAGGGCAAATAAGGGAAAAACTTATAAACATGTTGACAAATTTTGTCTCAGCTCGCTTTACTCTGTATTGTTTTTCCTCTTTTTTCCCAGCTCGGTCCTTTTAAACGCACGTCATGTGGAAAAATGCGCTGGAGAACACAACTTGAAGCTGGCGGAAGGAATGCGAAAAAAGTGGAGGAGCACCACTAAAAAAGACTTAGTTCGAGCAGCTGAAATAGCGCAGAATTCAGGAGCAGCTGCGTTTGATGTCTTTACTTTCGGAAGCTGAAGGCTCTGGGCGGAAGGGCTTTTGACATTGCACTGCCCTACGGCATAAATATTGTATATAGTATACTTTTTGGGGCCGCAAGGAGCAGGAGCCACGAAACTGGGAAAGCGAAGTAAAAATACTTAACATTTTTTTGGACCTAAAGGTCTGAATTATATTGGATCTACGGAACACGGAAAGTATTTTAATTTTAATCTAGCGAAAAGGAGAAGCTACTATGACTAGATAGATGGATTATTAAAATTGATCTGAAAACCAAAATTCTTTTCTTTATGATTAACATTAAACTAGAACTCATCTGAATAAAGATATAAAATAAAATATAGGGGCTAGGAACCATTCAGGTCTTTTAAAGCTTTTAAGGCTTTAGCTTTCATATAAAATACCTTTAAAAAATATAATAAGAAAGGTCGAACTACCAATCATATGATTGAGCCACCAAAGGACGAGGGAAATATGTCAAAATAGAATTCCATGAAAGGGACTTCGTTAGACGGCAGTTTCAGTGTCGCCATCTTTTCTGTCGCCGTGTCAATTGCAGTTTGCATATAAATTAGTGTAATTAAATGTCGGACAAGTGTTATAAAATTACAGCGACGAAACTGCGGTGAATTGAGCTTTTGATGCTTTGGCAAAAACTATACTATATATATCAAGTGAGGAAAAGGATCCGAGAGCGAGTGTGGCTTGATGGCACTTCAAAAGCTGCAGCGTCATAACTCGAGTGCAGTCATCGCTATTGCCAAAGTATTTAATGGCTTTATGATGACGAAAAGTTATTTGAAAGCATGATGGAGGAAACTCTTCATGCTTCTTTTAGTAGCCTTGATTAGTTCTATAAAATTGTTGTGCACCATATCAATAAAGCAATTAGTAAGTGTGTATGCGAAAGCCATACCAAAAAGGCTATTTCGCGTCCTCACTTTCACTCGAAAAAAAGAGTTAAGGTTGTTATTTTACTATTACAGATATTGTAACCAATAAGTAATAATATTTCCCACGTCAGACGATTGGGAACGCTGTAAATATCCATGTATGAATTCTTAAGTATCGAAAAAAGAGACTGTTTTAATTTTTACATGTTCAAGAATTCATAAAGATCATAGCATAAAATAATTAAATGCTGAACTGACTGCGTAGCTTTGATGAACGGTTACACTAAAAATCTTTAAGTTCTAATATTAAATTTATAAAATAGCAATTTTGTTATAGAGAATATTGAATATTATAATTATTATAATTATTTATTCATTTATATTATTCATAATCAAGAAAAAAGTAAAAGCTGCGAATACTTTTACCCTGTAGTGATACTTTAGTTTTCAATTTTTTTTTACTTGTACTTTATTATATAAAAAATAATAAGTATATAAGTAAGGTAAGATATGTTTTTAATAATTTAACCTATTTTCCCAACGTGCAGTGGCTTATCTAAAACCCGTCCTGCGGCCCTTACTTCCTTCCTGAAGTCACGACCTTCCAACCTCTGAATTAATTCTCCACCTTTTTCGCACTTTTGCGACCATTAAGTGCAGGGTCTGTCTTTAGAGACAGAAGCCCGGCTTGTTAGCAACAGTTTCTTGGCACTTTTTAAAGGATTTGCCAGAGTCACTGGGTAAAAGGCGAGCAAAATTAAAATGGAAGCGCAAATTTGTTTCTGTTTGAAGGCAACTCTTTGCGTTTGACTTTGGGGCCACGCCCATTTTCGCCCGCTGGGAGATGCAAATGAATCTGCCCAAACAGTTCGCAAATGCACGCCCTCCTGGATGCCACGCCCCTTTTCCCAGCATTTCGGCAAACCATTTTTGTTCACTTTGTCGGTGTTTAGTTGCTTGCCCTGTGTTGGGAATTAAATGCAGATATATATAATACGTATAGATTTGAGTAATGAGAAAAGTTCGGATTGAGGGCAGGGCGGATTATTCATTAGCAGTGGCTGTTGCTCGGTTTTCGGCTTGTTTAACTTTTTTGTGTAGCCCTGCATCGCTAATTGCGGAATTTATTAAATTTAGATTAAAACTTTTTCGGCAAAGTTTACACAAAATGGAAGTCTGTAATTTGCATTGTTATTAAAAGGGTTTTCCGGTAGTAAAATATTGCGCAATTAAATGGAAGCCACTTTTCGACCTAATTAAGTGTTTTTACTAATTGGCATGTTAGAAAACATTTTTAATATTACTTTTACTATTTAGATAAAAAGAGTTTTTAGCCAATTAAAACCAATTATTAACCAATTTAAAAGTATGTGGTCCCTATATATATTGCCAAATAGTAAAAAACTTACAGCCCAATTTAAATACTTTAACTAATTTAATTGCTTTAAAATGCTGTCTCAAGAAACATTTTTACAAATAATAGTTACACAATGTTGACCCATATTAATTATTTGTTTGTTTTTATCGTGACTCGTGATCAATAATACTATGATGACTCTTTGTCACTAGTAAAAAGCAATCAACACTTAATTAGAAAAGCTAGGACTAGTAATTTGAGGGTTTGTGTTGATTTAATAGCAATTTCAGTGCACCATCAGTGAGTTACATTTGTTTAAATACCTATTAATTCCTTGGGCCATTAATATTTATTTTCATTGTCAGGCGAAAACATGTGGCTCCTTGTTTTTTGGTTCGTTTTTCTGATGAGTTTGTTTACCATTAGCTAAAGCCAGACGGGAAATGAATAAGCAGCTAATAAGCCCTAAGAACATAAGAGGACTGGCAATCCAAATGCTCAAGCACCAACGCCTTTAAGTGCACAAATGTACATATTGTACATACATTGTCAGGACTATTATTTTCCTGCTCTTCAATATTTTTCCTTCATTCTCTGTTTGTATGACATTATCCTCAGACATCGAATGCTTTGATTGATGTGGAAAATATAATGCTGGGGAAGGCAGAAATATACTCAATCCAAGCTGACAAGGCTTTGTTTAATTATAACAAATTAAAAGGCTTGCTGTTGATGTCAGAAAAAAAGGAAAGTAATTTTCGAAACATATTTTATTTTTCATGAACACATCACATGATATAGTGATTTCTATTCGTGTACCATATATCTATATATTATTTTATTATATCTATATGTAATTCTATATGTAATCTATCTATATGTAATTTCATATTAATCTATCTCAACTTGTTAATTTGCATTAAAACAATGGTTTTCAATTACGGTTTTCACCCTCATGATTTATTGTTTGTATTTATCTACCAATCAGTGCCAAGTTGTTCATATTTGCTGTAGGACAAAATTGCTTTAACTCGATTAAATTGAAAATGATGTTATGCTCTGCATAGGAAAGTAATTATGTGGCTTCAATTAAATTTGAATTAAATCGCATTAGAAAACGTTGCTTTGCAAGTAATGAAATAAAACTGGAACAATTCGAAATATTTATAGTAATAATTATATAAACACTTTGCATATTAGATTTTAGCTGTGATTATGAGAATCTTAAGGGTGTACAGTTGTACAAAAGGTTAAGATGGTTCAATGCCTTCTCCAGGGTCAGAATCCTGAATATTTACTTAGTAGACATGGGTTGGGGCTTAATCTTTTTATTTTGGTCTCAAGTGGGAAAAACAAGGTGAACGAACAGTCAAACGCAAACAGCAAAACCCGCCGAGATACATAAATATTTATATCCAGAATTTGTAGCATACTTTCCAGTCGCCGGGCGAGTCTAAGTCTTAAAGCCATTTAATTTTATTACACTTTGCGGACTTTAACGAACCAAACAGCGGTTAAAAGGTCTCACCCCCTCGACAACCCCAAAAACTCATCGAGTAAATAATTTAACGGATTCAATTATGTACAATAATTCGGAATATACCCCATACACGAGTATTTTGTACATACTAAGTCACTGTGAGGCGTGGGCTAAATTTAAATCTCCCGAGGGGTGGAAGCGCCCCTCATTTTGCTAATATATTTGATGAAATGGAATATCTATGCCGCACTTTGGGGATCCGCTTGTTGTAGTAAAATGAATTATGAAAATGGGGTTACTTGGGTATTTTTGTGAGTATGTGAAAAAGTTGTGGGAACTTTAAACCTAGAATGTGTGGAATGAAAATATTTATTGTGAAAGTTTGTTGCGCCTTTTAAAATTAGTTCAATATGGTAAACTATTATGAAAGTTATTTTGTTGCTAGATTTATTAGTTTCCTAAGTTTTTTCATCAACTTACCTCTATTACCCGAAGCTCAAATCATGGCTCTGACTTTTCTTGGCCTTCTTCAAAGTCAAACACTTGACTGAATTTCGGTCTTCCTTCTTTTATGTGTTTCCGTATCGTTTTTACTTAATTCTTTGTTTGTATTAGTTATCACTGATTTTGCTATTTTTACTTCATCATCTCCCTCCACTTTTATGTTTATTTTATCGTCTGTTGTAAAATGGCCTTCATTGTGTACAGAAATATTTAAATAAATTTTAGAATTGTATTTGCCATTGTCAGTCGTTCGAATGTGTGTGGGTTTATTTGGCTCGTTTCTGTTGAAATTGGTTTTATTTCAAGTTATGCTTGGTTTGCTCATCGAGTTTTTGCTTAATTTGTGCTGAGTTTATTATTGGCTTAGAATTCAGAGAAGTGTAACGAATATTTGTGGATTGTGCCAAGTTATGTTTTTAAAAGTCAAATTTAGAAGTTTTATCAAAGCGCCGCATTTATTTAGCAAACTTTTAATAGAATTGCAAACATTTTCTTTGTCTTTAAGTGCAAATTTACATTCAAAACCGATCAAGATGTTTGATATGTATAATTGAGTGTTGATAAAACTTTAGTCCTAGGATTTGAATAAGCGGTTTAGTTCAAGTTTATTTAAATGTGTCGAAATGTGCTCAAAAATCCCTCTGTGAAATATTAAATTCCTGCACTTCACTCGCTAGTTTGCAATTAATTGCGAACTTTATGCCACTGGCGTTTCTCAACTTAGCATCAGTGGAGCCGAGCACATATTATCGTTAATAATGAATGGAACTAAAAGTTTCGTGCAGCCGACAAGGACAACGCAGAAAAGTTGGTGAAAACTTTCTGGTTGAGCAAAAAAAAAACTTTTAAATACACTCTAAATTGGCCAGAGGGAAAGCGGGGGAGGAGTTAATTCGTTGGTTAGTACTTTTGAAATTGCCAACAGCAGAGCTGATTTATTTATGAATATTTATTAGCCGGGAACTGTCGCTTATTAAAAACTTGATTGGAGCTGCCAAGGAACCTGTTGCCGCCTCATTAAAAGCGAGAATTTCCATCGGATTGCCCGTCGGCAGCAAAGTTAATTACAATATTTCATTACTGCTGTGTTGGTGTGGGCGTGGCGTAATTTTTATACCCAACAAATTGCCAACAGCGCATTAAACACAATAACACGGAACAAAAAAAAATGAAAATAACACTGAAGTAGAAATGGTACAAAAATGCAAAGCAATTTGTAGTAAATAAAAAGCGGAATGCTGAAATGGCGCCCAAATACGCAACTCAAACAGGAAGACAAACTTTTCACGCCCCCACAACAGAAACCCCTACAATATATATACGCCATGTCTAAGTGTGCGTAGGCACACATACAGGGGCAATCCGCACAGATGGAGCCAATACATTGACAGTGCACACAGGGGACTTTGATTTTCATGACCAAGTGAAAGCGAGACGCGAAGAAGCAGACGGAGAAAGCAGTGCAAAGTTATCTTTTCACTGGCAACCAGAAGGTTGAATGCTCTTAAAAGATAAAGTTGGAAAGGGAAAACTTGCAAGGTCTTTTTCAGCAAGGAGCGGGAAACCAGCTTAAGAACAAAAAATACATTTTTAAAGTAAAATTATGTTTCATTATTTCAATTATAAACTCTACAAATTATTTTTGTTTTATTAAAAAGGCTTATTAAGAGACGTTCATTAATGACATAACAAACATGGCTTTAAAAAACATTTCTTCCTTTGTGAACTTTCTTTTAACAACAACAAGTAACCATTTTATTTAAGAGAAATTTTATAAGAAGGACTTTGAACCTTAAGAAAACGATCTATTTTAATGGTTAATTAAATTTAAAAAAAAAAACTAAATATATAACACAAAGTTGGTAACTGAAAAAGAAATAGTTTTTTTTTACAAATATGGTTCCAAATTTAAGAAGAAAATTTTTTATTGACGTATTTTAATAATTTTTTTTATACAACTTTGGTCTCAGCAATTTTTTTGTGAATAATTTTAAGCAAAAATTTCAAGTAGTATTGAAGGAAAAACACAAAAATGTTCGGTTTTTGATTCGCACATGGGTTTCTTTTATTTAATGAAGGTCTGCTCAATTCTCCCAAAAACAACCTGTAAATAAAAGTCAGGGGCAGACACACCGTTCCTGTCTAGGTGGGATTTATGTATTTCTTATTTTTTCTGCCTTGTTCTCCGTTTTACTTCTTGTATTTTTGGGCAGACGCCCACGCGGCGCCAAACTGCGCAGTCTGCTCTTCTGATTATTCAACAGAGTCTCTTTCAAAACAATTCTTTTGTATTTTTCATTTGATTAAATTCTTATAGCCTTTTATTATTTGTTAGCTGGAATTAGTTATATTATTTGTTTACTTGTTAAGTCCTTTCCTTAAATCATTTCTAATTGTTTCCAGTTAGTTTTTCTTGGTTAAAGCTTAACAGCTTTTTGAAAATTGAATTTTGAGATAATTTGTTACAGGCTTTTTTAATTTCTTGGACATTTTGAAGGCAACCGCACCAAACTTTCGTTTTCTTTTACACCAACACGGGCCACTGAAGCTGAGAAACCCACACACTCACACCCGCACACAAAGGCTCTCCTTCGAGGAATATGGTTTACCGTTATTCCGCTGGGGCACAACCGAAACACTTGAAACTCCGTCACGAACTGTCCCGTTATCCGTGAGGCGTGCTAAAGAAAAAGTTCGCCTCGTGCTTTTTCGCTCTCTCGTAGTCTCTCTCGCTCGTCTGTTATCAGTTTGATTTGATTTCGCCTAGCAGTCCTCGCACAATTTGCCTTCGCTTGGCCAAGGGTGACTGCGTCCTCAAGGATACTGGCTAAACTCACCACACTTGTCGCTCGTCTCTCGCTCTCTTCGTGCTGCTGCCTCGCTCCCTCAGGCGTTGCTATCTCGCTCAGACAGACACCTGTAGTGTGAAAGCTTTCAATTTGTGTCAGTGTTGTCATGCTAATGTCAAAAGTTTGCATACATCAATTCACATCCTTAATGGGGTAATACTTCCGGTAATATTTGAAGTGAATTAATTTAAAATAAATTCTCTTTTGAGGTGCATATTTTTTAATGTTATTTCAATATTATTGAAAAGAAAAGTTAATACATTATTATAAAATGTATGACTTTGTTTACATAAATTTAACAAACCTAAACATGTTAAGGTTATACAAATGAAATTTCACAAATTATCATTCATTTTAAAAAATTATTAACTTCAATTTCATTACACACCCGTTTAATACATTTTTAAACAATTAAAAATTCTTAAGGGTGTTATTTATTTTAAAGTCTCTTGGTAACTAGTAACGAAATCCGAAAGGGGCTACGCTTGTCCCAATCGAGTTATAAATAAGTTGGCCATTCATTCATGTCATGTGGTGAACTCCTCCCACCGAAAAACCATTACATTTATAGCCTCAATTACGCAAACAACAGCAACTACCTGTTGGCCATTGTCTGTTTGAGCTTCCCCCTTTTTGCCGCTGAATTTCCCGAGCACAGCCACTGCATTAAGCGTTTTAGTATTAAATTTGCTACGGTCTAAATGAACTCTTAAAAGTGCTCTGACATTTCACACAGCCTTGACGGGTCACGTGGCTCACTAAACAAAAAGGATATTGAAAAGTAACTTTTAAAGTCAAATTAGAAATATGTACATATATTTAATAAGAAATTTATCTCAAAAGGAAATTCTTTATAATAACATTTTTTTTATTTTATATTTTAATTAACATTATTATTTATATTTAATTATATTAAAGCAAGTTATTGATAATATTTTTTTTGGTCCAAATGCAATTGATTTAATTTTCTAAAATTATTATTGGGCTCTGAGACTTATTCAATCTGAAACTATTCTGAATTAGATTTGTTTTGCCGCGTGCATTAAAACTAGACCACTTTGACTGTAACCTACTCCGGGTCAGACCCCCTCACTTTAACCCTTACGACCTTCTCCTGTGTCTAGCTATATTTTTTTCCGTAGAAGGGCTGCCAGCAACAGTTGACGTAATTTGCAGGTAATATGTGTGTTGCCTGTTGCTTCTGTTTCGAGCCATTTGACTGACCAGGACAACCACATCTCTCACATTCCCTTGCTCCCCAGATCCCTGTGGCTCTTTATTTATTTCTCCTTCATGGAGGGTTCGTGTGCAAACGAGCCAATCGAGCCACATATTGATTTACGTGTTCAGGATGTGTTATAGTAGTCATTGAAACCGAACACAGACAAGAACTACATACAGAGAAAAAAGTTTTTAATTAAAAAGTTCACTCGAGCTGATAAATATATAATAGATAGATAGATAATTTAATAACGTTTCAATATGGTATAGGTATTGATTTTTGTTATTAGGATAATTAAAAAGCTGTCTAATAGATAAAGATGTTGCTTTAACTTATCTACAAAATATGAACTGATAAAAAAGTTTTCTAAATGATTATAGTTGATATACTATAAATACCTCGAATGTAAAAGTTTAAAAAAACATTTTATAATAATTAATCATTTAAGAAACATTGTTTTTTGTATCATATTTGACAAATGAATTTTATAATCCAATTTTTTTTTTTTAATTTACTTTAGCTTCAGTGTTTTATTATTTATTAGATGAAATACTTACTATATAGTTACAGTGCATTGATAAAGTGTGTAATTTAAGACCAGAACTTTGTCGTGCTCGAAAAATATATGGAAAAAGGAGACAGAAAGTGTGACAAAAAATCAATTAAATTGGATACTTTTTGCATATAATGCGCAATTAGTCAAGTTTCTCTGACAGTATATGGTGGGCGTTTACCAACGAAACCGAAATGCAATTCACAATCTAACCTCATTCCGGTTGAGAAATTTGCATACAAAAAACGAGAGGAGAAACATATTTCTGCACACATTTCCGCTGCACTAAACGTGATTGAAAGCGGAAATTGCTTCATGTTCTTTTTTCTCCTGCCGAACATCCTTCCCCCTCCCCCTCCCCCTCCTCCTCCTCCTACCCGTTTTCATTTTCATTTTCCCCTCGATTCTGGCTTCCGTTTGATGGCCGCAAACTGTGAGCCGAGTGCGGAAAAGAGGCCCTGACTGATGACTGGCAAATCGGGTTTTCAATTGACATTTGATAGAAATTGCGTTAGTAACCTCTGGTTCTGCCTCCCGCCCTGCCACGCCCCTTTTCGGACATCCTTCATGGGAAGCCCAAAGTGTTGCCTGATGCGATTATCGCGGTGCTCAGTAAAAGCCTTCGTTCCCTTGTGGAATTTTCTGTGCAGTTTACTCCCAGAAATTGTCTTTGGATGAGTGATTTATGAGGTAACGTTTCTCTGATAAATGTCGGAAGTTGGCTGGAAATTAACGAGGTGTTCAGATAATTATAAAGCTGTTAAGGTTTTGACAGATTATCAATAAAATAAGTACTTTTTGTTTGTTTATTTTTAGCACTTTAATCACCTAAGCATTTGTTGTTCAATACTTTGCTACTTACTTTGATTTAAGTTAGGAACATTATTTTTTGGGAAAGAAACGCTTTTACTTTATTTTCGTCAGGTTATTTAAAGTTAATTAAAAAATATGGAGTTTGATAAATATATATTTGTATTTTTATTTAATTTCAAATTGCAGCAATGCTCAATGGTACATTGAAATACATACATTCAGTAAGTTAATCACATAAATATGTTCGTTTTTTTGCTATTTTTCAACCATTGATAGGGTGCTTTTCTGCCGGTTCGCTACAATCAATTTTTTTCGCAGAAAGCTCTTAAAAAAGGGCCATAAAAAGTTATGATAAAAAGTTAAGTTAAAAAACGGTTTAATTGAGTTTGACTGGTCTGGCCCTTTTATGTCATCAGGCCCTCGTTGCGCAGAATTGCAGTCATGTCAAATTGCAGCAAGACAATCAAATAGGACGTGGCTGCACTTACAGTCTGGAAACAGAAAAAATTGAACTTTCGGAAAAGGGTAACCTTTATGCACTTTTAACTCACCGAGAAAATAAAAGTGTAGTCCAAGGCAAATAGGCCTATGCCATTGAACTGGAAAAAACCTTCCCAGTGAAGAAACTGCAGCGTAAATGATTTCATTTTGTTGTAGAAGAGATCGTTGCTCAACATAAACGCTGGTTTCTTCTGCATTATTTCATGGACAATCATTGCCGATTGCTTCGAGTGATTGTTCGCATTGCAACAAAGTCGAAGTACAATATATGCAACAGCCATGGTGGTGAAACTCCAAATCACATACAAATAGGTCATATAGTCCAGCAGTCGACTCTTTCCGCCCACAACAAAGTTGACCTTGGTCTCCAAAAAAATCCCAAAAATGCTCACCACAAAGCAGGCCGCCATATAGGGTACACACTGTGGACCAAACTCGCCATTGGTAATCACACTGAGCGACAGGATTTTATCGTGGAGCTTGAACAGATCTGGTAAGTTGGCCTCCGAGGTGTTTCTAGTTTGGATAAATAGTATGTAAGTAATAATGAACATTTAAATTAGTTTAAAAACTATATAGGCTAGATATGTGCTTTTAGAAACCAACTGCACTCATATTTCAAAAACAACAAAAACATGGACATGACTGCTATTTGCAGAAAACAAAAAGGTTTCAATAAACCTTAAATTATTGTGTTGTTTTGAGTATGAACACGAAGATTCCTTTGTCTAATTTTAAGTTATTCAATTTAACTCAACTCAATTTAGACACTTTAGGCTCAAAACGAACAATGAATAAAATAAAGTGGCAGCTTCATTTAAATGTCCTCTTCAGCATAAATCAAAATTCAAAAGACAAGGTAACCAAACAACTGCTGTAACCATTAATCAAACCGATTTTTGTTGTTGATTCTTTTTGGATGAAACCTTAGCTGGTAAATCGTTTTTCCGCTCACCCCGTGTTCTCCGCAATGGTGGCATTGTCATAATCAAAATCGTCCTCGTCCTCGTCGTTACTGGTGTCCATTTCGTCCTCATCGGTCTTTTGTTGGCCCACTTGGCGTTTCATTTCGCTGGCCAACTTGTGCTCATTGCCAAATGTCGCCCTGCCGTCCATGGATGTAATCGGCGTTACGGTCTTCCGCTCCTTTTTGCCCTCACTCTCGATATCGAACATGGTCAAGGGGGCGTGGCGGTGGCGCGCCTCCTGGTTAATCTTCTCGAACAGCGTGTTAACCTGCTCGAAGCGCTGCGAAATGACCGACACATGATAGATGAACTCGCCCTGGATGATGCTGCCGGCCAAATATGGGAAACTGGACACCATGAACGGAATGAAGGCGAAGTTGCCAAAGGTGCTAAAGGGAAAACGGAAAACGAGGAAAATTTGCTGAGCTGAGAAATTTAATTTCTGTAGCAAATAGCATGGAGTGATTGGCGGTAGTGTTTACACAGATATTTAAAGCATTTAAAATTAAATTAAAATTTAACATCTTAAGATTTTATTTGATCTTACACATCAATTTTAATTTATATACATTTTGGAATAATAACTAATATATTATTTTAACTGTTTGTAAATATTTAATGTACTTTTATCAGTTTAGAATTTATGAAGTTGATTTTCTCTTAATTACCAAACATGAAAATATACTTTAATTTCACTTATAATTGCTAACCTTGTTATATACAAATAAAATATTTTTAGGAACGTTTACTTACAGATACAGAGATCTGACGTCATAGTACAGGGCAGAGGTGAAGACGCAGAATAGGAAAAGCCAGGTGAAGTGGTAGGCCACGCCGTGCTTCACCGCGGTGGCCTTGACCTTGTCCATTTCCGCCACGCGCTGACACTTCTGGATAACTGCATCAATTGCATTTAATCGCTCCTCGAACTGCTGGAAGAAGTCCTTGCGGCGATAGAGACTCATCAGAGCGACTGTGAGGTACAGAAAGGCTCCGAGATGCATGAACAAATGGTTGCTCAATCTGCAAACACTATTGCACGCGTCTAAGAAACAAGGTCCAAAAGTATGGCTCAAATTAATTAGAAGATAGCAGCACACATAGAAGACCGGCATAATGTACATCATTGCATAATCGACAATAAAATTGGTTTCCGATTCCTGACGATTCAAAGGAATGAGGCCTATGGCCTGGAATTTAAATAATTCAATTAAATTTATAACAATTTGTTTTACAATGGTTATGTATTGTTTTTACCATTGAAAGCCAATTCATAACTTGAATCATTTTGCTGGACTTGTTTTCACTCCGCTATTGGGTAACTCTCACTTTTAGTTCTCTGTTTGAACTGCCGCTGGCTTTTCGGTTAGCGCTCCAAAAGGGTTAACATTCACCTTGTGTACTTACTCGATTGTTGGCATAATGAAAACGATTACACTCTGTGGCAGGAGAATGTAATGCGCATATGTTTAAGATAAATATCTTCAAAGGGGAGCCTAAAATGCTTTTAGCTTATTAAATGTGAAACGAACTGTGCACCACGAGAAAATGTTGTACAGAAAATAAGAGTGTGAATAGTAACACTCAGAATATATTTGTTTTTACAATTTTTGTTCTTTAAGATAGTATTAAATATATTAAACGTATAAAATAAATGTAACAAGTAACTCACATTTTCTATTTGTTTTAAAATCTTTTACATTTAACATTGTAAATTATTCTTTCATTTCACCCGCACCAGACTATACAAATTTTAAAAGAAAAATAAAAAGAAAAACGTTTAAATGTACTATATTTACGTATTTACATATTTACTTTAAATAAAAACCGTTATTCCCTTTCTTCGAGTGTTTTTCAATTGATCCGCTTGTTTATTGATTAATTGCTCTGTGTTGCTCCACACTGAAAATAATTTATCCACACTAAAATTAAAGATAATTGAACAAAAAAGGATTTCATTTTAGGCTTCCCACTTTATTAAATAAAGCTGTTAACAACATGTGCAGTATTTATATATAAAATTTTTTATTTAAATCGAATATCCTTTAATAAAAACTGTATGTTTCGCTTATGCTTTTCTAGCTCACAAATTGAATTACCGTCCCTTGATATTCGCTTCACTCTAATTTATACTGATATTGTCATCTGCGAATTCCCAGGAACATCAAGGCACGACAACTATTTCACCTTTCCAGTCTTTTGTGCTAAGCCCTCGAAATCTAATAATTTCCACATATTTTCACCGTATTTTACTTGCTAATTAAACAATTATAAGTTAGTGCCGCCTAACACTAAATTAACAACTAAGACAACACAGAGAACAGCATTTCCCTTAACCCTCGTGTTGCCAACTAGCTAAGACGTTTCTCGCCTAAGAAAACCAATTAAAAGCATAGCCCTTCCTGGCGGCAATAACTGGCGACAAGGGAGGCGGAAAGGTGAGGGAAAGTGGGCCAAAACCATGAGATGATAAAATGCAAATTTCCCCAGAGTTGGGCATTAAGGAAGGGGGCGGGGAAAGTGGGAAAAGTGGGGATGGTTGAGCTGGGGCACAGAGACTTACAACAGTTACAACTAAAACAAGAAGGCAATGGCACTGGCAATGACAACGTGTAAGGTGTTGTTTGCCGTCTGCTGGATGCCTTTTGGCCCTCTCAGTTAATAATTGAGTTTGCATCGGAGGCACGCAGAAAGCAGCCCTCACGCACTCACACATATATTTAGGAAAGGACTTTGCGAGGAGGAGGAAGGCTCCTGCTGAAAAGGGACAGACTAGCGTCCTTTGCATCTTACTTATGCCCATGCACGCTCAATAGACCGCAAAACTGGCGGGTTGTGTATTTCCTAGAGATGGGCAACTTTTTGGCCGGCTACCACAACGATATATAATTTACAAATTTAAGAATTTTACGGATATCCGTATAGGTACAAATTCTTGGAATATATATTCCTATCTTACTATTATTATTATTATTATAATCTTATTCTTATAATAAGTTGAATATAAATTTAACATTGTTTCTAAGTAAGTTATCTACCAAAAAATTACTCATACGACTCATTGGCCACAAATCATTTAATGAAGTAATTTATTTTTATATTCGTTTTATTTAATCTACCAAATTTTAAATTTCATAAGTCTTTAATGCCAGGAAGTTAAGCTTAATATCTCTATTTAATGTCTCTTTCCATAAAAGAATTACTTATACGACACGTTGGCCCAGTTTATGGTATGGTTGTTTCGAAAACTTATTGCCACTTATTGCTACCCTCTATAATCTAACATTTTTACTATTATAAAAATTTTTTTAAAAAAAAATCAAATTATTTATTTCTTTAAAGGAACTTCAAGTAGACTTTTTCTAAGCCCATCTCTAGGTCGCAGGCAAATGCCGAGCCAATGAAACGAAGCTTGTTAATATTTGCCTTCGGAGAAGAATGTTGGCCCTGGGAAGCGTAATTTGTCGTACGTCTTATCGGCGAAGGCTTTTCCGGGAAAGTCTTTTAAAACGCCGCTGAGTCGCTGCATGCAAATTTGATGCGCACATTAGATTAGTTTATTGTAGTGCTCGGTAGTGATTGTTATTGCCTTTGGTGTCCGTAATAAAACCGCCCAGCATTCGAGATGAACTCTTGAAAATTTTCCCACTGCGCTTTATGGCCGGCAATCCGTTGAGAATCCTTGGGGCTTCTCGGGTTTAACCGATTTCGGGTTGCTTTATTTTGTTTTGTTCTCGCTCCCCTTGGCGGTATCAATAAAATTGCGGTCATAAACTGTGACCGTAATGGTCTTCAGTCCCTGCCACGCCCCCTTTTTTTGGCTGCTCGAAGGCGAGTCACTCAATCATGTGGCACACTTAGTTGCCTCGCTTTCGTTTTTCTGCCGACTTATTTTGGCTTTCCCTTTTTTTTGTACTTGCTTTCCTGTAATGAGCTTGTTTGCTCAAGATTTTGGCCAAAAGATTTGCCTAAACGTTTTTTGCTTCCGTCAGTTGGCTGTGGGGGAATGCGGAATTTCGGATTTGGGTGCTGCCAAAATGGAACATCTTGGCCCTGTTCAAGGGGAGAACTGAACAAGTGGAATGGGAGCGAAATTATGTTGGGCCCGTGGGGTTTTATTGGCGTGTTAAAGTTGCTTACTTTCTGTATGAGGCCTCCTTATTTAGTGAGTTATTTGTAGGAGGAAAGGGGTTGGACAAAATTCTCTGCCTTTTGAAGAAGATATATCACACATACTTTAGAAATTTTAAACGAAATTAATATAACGAAATGAATTACATTTTTAAATATATTTTTAATTTAATTTCTTTTATTACTATCTTTGAAATTGCTCTTGCTATTTCGAAACCCATTGCTACACTTTCCTTTTGAAGAATCAAATACATAATAACACAGATTGGAAAACTGTAAGCAGTTATTTGGACGCTTGTGTGTAATCTACAGGGCTTGTTGAAAATTGTAAATTTCTTTAACTCACTTTAAGTTCCCTTTATTTCCATCACCCACTCCCAACTTATGGGTTTATCCACAACTGGCCTTGGGATCTGGTTCCTCTTCCTTTGGCACGTAAACCGAGGTGACAGAATAAAGCCGCATAGACATATCAGACACATCTGACGGGATAAGTTTTCCTGTCTGGCTTAGCCACTTCCCAGCTTTCCTTTGTCCTTGCCGCTTTTGACAATTTGTTGTGTCGCTTGCAACTCCCGATGTTGTGCCACATACCCGTTGACTTCTGATGACTTTTGGCAACTCAACCATTCAGAGAGTTTACGACCATCACTCAGATGAAATTATTCATGTACAGTTGCGGTTCGAGAAATAGCAAGGAAGCAAAATAATTAATCAAAGGAAATGCAAATTAATTGAAGAGCTCAAAATACTGGTTTGTCTTATAAGAATATACTTGAAGGCAAAAGGAAATATATATTACATTTTTTCTAATTTCCATTAAGATTGAATCGTATAAAATAGTAAAATAAGTTAAAATATGTTTTATAAACAGTAAATTGAATTCTTATTATTATTTTACTTCTGTTTCAAGTGAATCAATAGAACTTATTTACCTCTGAGACTTCTAAAAATCTAACCGCATCTGTGTGATGTGTCAAGTGTGTGTTTCCTCGTTTATGTGTTTGCTTTATCTTAGTTCAACGTTGCGTCAAACTTAACTAGCCAAACAATTATTTCCAACGCTTTTGTGTTCGCCCCGTCCCTTTCTGCACTTCTTTTTCGCAATGCTGCTATCTCTTTCGCTTCCGCCTAGAAGCCAAAAGTGCTCCTCATTGCTTGTTACATAAATATTTCATTAAAAGCCATTCATAACCGAGCATTCGGTGTTGACAGCCGCCTCCCACCATCAACGCCCACCACGTGTCCAGTCCGAAGAGCGAAGAACGAGACGGCTGCAGGCGAACGAAAGAGACGGGGAGAGCGCGGAGAAAAAGAGAGAGCGAGAGCTTTCCACCACGTTTCTGTGTAAACAAGTCGCTGGCGTGTTGGGATTGTTGCTGCATCTTCCGTGCAACACCGCTTTCAACGCTTTCAAATGTCAAATGCCAAGGATGGGGCTGGGCCAAATTCAATCCGAGCCACAAGTTGGCTGCATTATCAATGTGGTTAGTGGTCGGCCGAATGCGAAAGTTCATCAACTTATGGAACCCCAAAGGGTTCGTTTGGCCATCTGCTTAGCAAGGGCTCAAAAGTATTAAATTGCCTATGGTTCTTCGCACTAACGAAAGGAGTCGTAAGGCACTGATTTTAATTGTACAATCAAAAATTGCTTAGGGACCAAACTTTCAAATAAAGGGAAAAACGTTTGAAATAATTTTAGATTTATTTTTAGAAATAAAACGCATATATATTACATAAAACATATAAAACATGTAGTTTTTATAAAAAAAAGCCCACCTAACTTTCATTGTAAACTATAATTTTCATTCCAAAAAGAATAGGCTCTTTAAGATACTATTAACCAAAATGTGAACAGTAGGGATTTTATTCGATATTAAATAAAATCAATACAAAGTATGCAGACGTGGTTCAAATTGTATTGTTCTACATAATATTGTAAGCAACAGCGATCCTGTGGTTTTACCCCAATTTTTCTTATGCTTTGTAATGATAGGTATTTAAGTTAACCATTTTTACTTTAAACTGATTCTATTTTAGCAATCTTTAAGACGCCTTATTTTGTTATTGTTTCGTTGATCTATTTCAGTTTCATTCTTTGTTTATTATTAAAAAAATTGTATATTGTCAATGACATTTATAATTATTTCATAAATATGTATACATTTTATTAACATATGCTAGCCCTTTAAAATTCAAACCGATTTATTTGCAGTCAGCACTCGAACCCCGTCTCGCCCAAAAGTATGCTTTCTAAGACAGTCAAGTGAATCAGTGATTTTGATAGCGCACACTCGTATTTGTTTGGCGGCTACTATTCAGTTCGATCGGAATGGATCGGGCTGTTTTGGAAGAACAATCAGTTGATGGGCCTAGTCGCGCGTTAAGCGTTCAGCGCGCCGGTTGTCGCCGACTTTCAATCGCATTATGTCCGAGCAACTGGAGAGCAACAATGCTAGTGAAAACAATAACACCTATAATAACAACAATAATAACAACAGCATAAAGGATGTGCGACTCCTACTGCTGCCAGAGACGACTCCTTCGGCTGGCAGTCCTTCGAGTGCCGTTTCCCGGGCTCAATTGCACAAGATTTTCATTGATGACCTGACGCGAACCGGAGACGTTGGCCATGTGATGAGGAAGCGAGTGCGGCGGGTGCCCTGGTTTATTTTGCTCATGTGTTTTATGCAGGTTCGATTTTATGCAGTTGCTCTGCTTTTTCGTTTGTCTGCTAGTTTTTTTTTGTATTTTGCCTGCTCGGCAACCTGGCGTATGAGTGATGTGTGTTTAATTCAGAAAATAATATTTGCCGGTGAACAGCCTCCAAACAGATAAGAGACATATTTATTCTTCCTATCAATACTTTTACTAATAAACTACCTGTCAAGGTATCAAAGGTGAAAATATTTATAGTGCCTTGCAGAAAGAAAGTGTGATTGGAATTAATTCAATTATTTTAAATTGATTTTAGTAGCGTGCTTTTAAAAACCCAAGAGCTTATTCAAAAGATTGTGCCATGTGTTTAGCTCCAAAATATTAAGTGATGATTATTCCTTATTAAATGTAGCATAATAAGCAATTTGTTTTTGTTTTATTTTTGGCAAAGCAAATTGATAGTGAGACCTAAAATGCTTAAGTGCTTGTTGAATTTTACTGCTGATAAGCTCTTCGTTTTATTCTTTTTCTATACTCAACAAACTAAACAAAAGTATTCTTAAAACTTGTTGTTTATAATCTTGCCCACTAATAATGATTTTTCCATTTGATTATTTTTACACAAAACAATTATGGTGTTTGTTTGGTTTACCCGTGGTTGGTGGCGCTGTATGAGTGCTCTATAAATTATAGCTCTTCAATTCATAAGAATATTTATTTAGTGGAAAATTTTTTCAATGTGGATCCGCTTAAGCAGAAAATTAGAAATGGAGAAGAACAACAACATAAGCAAATTAATTTATTCCTATGTTTTATATTTGGCTGTTTTTGCTAAAAGTTCGTACACATAAAATAGTTGTAGTTCTTAAATTTTGACGTTGTAGAGGCAAAAGAAACATTTTAAATAGTAATTGAAAACATTTGTTTAATTAGTTTGACACTGTTATTTCACATAAATGTTTTACATAGAAAATACTGTTTTAAATGTATAAAATATTTATATTTTTAATAAAAGCTAATCGAAATAGTTGTTCCTTTAGTTATATGCCCAAGGTAAATTAGTCTTCCGTTTCGTAAAGTTGGTCTTGTTCTTTGTGCTAACAAGTGTTTTACATCTTATTCAGTGGTTTTCTTTTGTTTAGAAACCAACTCCCTAACAAAGTTCGACAACTGTGACCCATTTATTGCAAACCTAATTAATTAATACCCTGCGTACCCACATACCTGAAATACGCACACTGCACACTCAGCAATGCAGATGTTGGATCGGTAAGGTTTTATTGTTACGCCCAACCCACAACTTTAAGGTGATTGCACAATGGTCCGATTTAGCTATATTGCCATTTTAGTCATAATCGAATCGATCGAATGCTGCAACTTGCAGCTCTGGCATTTGTCATATTTGGTTGGATCGGGATGCATGTTGCACCGATTTGGTGTCGCAGCCGTGTTTTTGCGGCTGCTGTCAACTCATGCGGCGCACATTGTGCGGCATCTCAACTCAACACTCAACACTCGCACTTCTCAGTTGGCCAAGTGTCGATCGTTTGAGCGAAAGTGACAGTCAGTTGCCATGACACTGTTCAACAAAGGTGAGGGTGCTCCTTTATGGCAAAGACAAACAAACGCTTTTTCGTTTTCGAAGTTACGATTGTTATGAGCTGCAATGATGACTTGCCGTTGATGTTTTAATCTTTATCTATAAGAATATTCTAAGAAATCATATCTCTTTCAAAATACAAATGCTGTTAATCATTGTCTACCACAAAAAAAACAAATGAATGAATTTGAAATAATGTTCTCAGAAACTGTGCAGGAAAACCCAAAAGATAAATTACTGCCACAAAGGGGAACTCATCAGGCATACTATATATTCAAGAAAGGGGTTTCAGCTTTACAAAATAAAGGGATACATATTTTCTACTACCTTGTAGTACAGTGCAATGTAATTAGAGGTCTTCCCTGCATCTTTTTTTTACACACCACCAGATATCGCTGCATTGGATTGGCAATGAGTGCATGCAAAAAAGACTGATTTTTAAGATGGAGTGGAACGGCGAGTACTGGCGACTACTGACCTATATGCTGCTCCATTCCGATTATTGGCACCTGAGTCTCAACATTTGTCTACAGGTGAGGTCGAAACTTTTACATTAGTGTCAATAATATAGCGTAAGTCATTCCTATTTTTAGCTCCCCAAATTACTTCGAAGTTTTCTTTCTCATTATATTTTGTAGTATCTAAATGTACTTGTATGACAGGTCAATTTGTTGATTCATTCGTTTAAACCATGCCGAAGCTGACTTCCTTTTGTTATTCACTTTTTGATTTCTTTAAATTAATTACAATTCTTGAACGCAATTTAAAAAATGACATCGGATGCATAATTTCCTAAAAAGAACAGAATTTTATAAATTTATTTTGCCTGAGTCAGTGATTGTAAATTCTTAAGCGTTATTAATTTTTTTGTTGTTTTGTTTTACTTCCTTATGCATGCTTAGTTATCAGTAACTAATTTGCTCTACTCCCACTCAAATTATTAGCTCGTTTTTGATTTTGAATATCTGCTGTTTTTCTACTTATAAATCTCTTTTAGTTTAATATCATTAGGCGTTATTTCATGAGCACTTATTTTGGTGTTTTAAACGGCTATCTTAAATAAGATAAAGCTTAATTAGTTATTATTATTATAAGGGTAAATTTAGATTACTTTAGTGTCACTCACACAAAGTGCATTGCCTTTCACCTGTATGGTGTATATGTAGCTAAAGCTATAGTGATTTACTAACAAGGTTATTGCCCCGTTTCAGTGCTTCATTGGCGTCTGCCTGGAAGTGGAGCAGGGTCACTGGCGCCTGGCCGTGGTCTATGTCGTGGGTGGCGTCGCCGGTGCGCTGGCCAACGCCTGGCTGCAGCCGCATCTCCTCCTGATGGGCGCCTCCGCCGGGGTCTACGCCATGCTGGGAAGTCATGTGCCGCACCTGGTTCTGGTCAGTCAGCTGGAAACCGCAATTTAGTTTTTATTTTGATTTTATTTTGATTCGATACCCGACTTACACCACTCCACCCACTTTGTCGCCCCACAGAACTTTTCGCAGTTGTCGCACCGCTTCGCCCGCATCGCCGCCCTCTTGATTCTGTTTCTCAGCGACGTGGGCTTCACTGTACACCACTTTCGCCACAACCACAATCGCAATCCACGGATCTCTCTGGAGGCCCACATCGGCGGGGGCGTGGCCGGAATTCTGTGCGGCTTTCTCGTCTACCGGCGCGTCCAGCCATCAACTCAAAAGGCCATTTACTTGTAGTCTCAAATTAGATGAGTAATTGTTAACACAACATACTATATAGTGTAAGCATATTTCATTGTGAGTCAGTTTGGGTTTTAATTACTTTATCGCCCTTTATAACAAGCTCCAATCTTGCCTGGATCTAATCTTTATGTGTTTTAAAGAACCAACATTTAGTTAACGCTAATTCAAATGTCATATGAGAGCAAAGATTTTTGTTTTACTTCACACCAGGCTTAAATCGTAAATATTTTTATATTTTGAATTATCAAGCAACATAATTTAATGCCAACTCATTTTTAAAATAAGGTCAATGTCCAATAAAGATTTATATCAGAGTTATATACATATCTAGAAAATATTATTTATTCAAAACAAAATGCTCTGAAGAATAAAATTGTTGGTTGAACTTTTATTTGAATAATTAAGTAAACCAATTTGATTTGTTATTATTTTGAAAGCATATTTGTTCCTTATTAAGTTCTCCGCAATTATTCTGTTTATTTCTTTTATGGACTGTTGCTATTGTTTGGTCACAAAATCCGTTGTAAACTTATTATTCTTTCTTTCGAATATGCGTACTTTCTGTGTTATGAATAAACATTAATTTTACACCTCATAAAAGGCCATGTTTTATTGCTGGTTTTTATGTGCTGTTCAGTTGCTGTTCAATTAATTGGCCCACACTTGTTAGGTGAATGGCTTCTCTATTGATTAAATTAATTACTCATCGAGTGGTTTTGGAAATTCATGACATCGTAGACAGGAATGCAGAATTTTTAATTCATAAATGTTTTGTGGCACATATCGATGCGTTTCAATTAGTTACTTGTCAAATTTGTCAACAAGGCTAAACAAAAATTAATATTTATAACTCATTTACGCATTTAATGTTGCATATTAAAAGGATTTTGTTTTGATTTAATTAGCAGCAATTAAAACCAAAACCAAATATAATTGTGTCAACTTAAGTTGCGGCTTTTCATTCATCATTGTTATTATTTGCTACTCCATACAAATTTCATGCCCATTTATAAAACTCGACACTTATTTATTTTAAGTTTTATTTTCTATTTATTTTCCTTTTGAAAGTTTAAACAAATTAATGTTTATTTAATATATATTTAATGTATTTCTTTGCTTATGGGTAACTTATTTGTGTATGTTATAAATGCCAAGTTAAAGATAAGTAAATCTATATTTTGTTATCGAAGAAATCAATATAATTTTCTATAATACATCTTATGATCTAGGGAAGCTCTAACCTACCCCTTAGTTATTTACTAGCTAAGGATTAGCATACAATTACGAACTTAACCTCTATACACTTCCGGGGAATTTCTGGGGAATTTACGATCTGGGAATATCTAAATTAACAGTCTAATGGGCCGCACTTGACGCCCACCTCGGTGCACTTGCATTCCAGGCACTGGCTGGATAGCTCCACGATAATCCGACCCACTCGATACATGCGACCGTAGATGTTGCAGCCCGCCAGTTTCAGCTGCCCGAGGGGATCATCGCCCCCCGGAAATCCTGCTCCTCCTCCTCCGCCGCCGGCAGTTCCTTCCCCAGAATTTGAGCTTGATTCCTGGCGATTATCCTCCGGGGATGTGGCAACTGCCGGTGGCGCACTTGTCGGCGGTCGTGTTGCATGTTGGTAATGGTGGAATTGCTGCGGCGGCTGCTCATGTTGCTGCTGCTGTTGCTGTTGCTGCTGCTGCTGCTGCTGCTGCGGTTGCAATCGGTGTGGTCTTACCTCATAGCTGGTATCCATGAAGGGCAATTTGTCGAACGGCGAGTTTAAAAATGGATGCAGAGTGCTCTTCGTTGTTGTGGGCTGCACCGTGGTTGTTGTTGCAGCCACTGATGATGTTCCTAGTGGTGCTGATGTAGCTGATGTTGCTGGTGGGGCTGGTGGTGCTGGTGGTGCTCTGGTGGTTGCCACTGTATTTTGCCGTCGCGTGGCATTCTGGACCTTACGTCTATTGCCGCTGGTCTGTTTGTTTTTCGTTTTGCTGCTTCCCTTTTTGGACGGGGCACGTGTTGTTGAAGTTGTCCTACCTGCGGTCGATGTTGCAGGCGTGCTTGTTGCTGCTGATGTTGTTGCAACAGTTGTTGTAGTTGTTGCTGGCGTTGCTGGTGTTGTTGAAAGTGCCGTTGGTAGTTGCTTAAATGCCGGCACTGTGCTGCTCATCACCTCTTCTTTCGACAACTCAACGCCGAGCAGCTCTTCCAAGAGCTTATCTAATTTATTGATTTCATATTTATCTATCAAGGGGGTTTCCTTTTCCGTTGTTGTTGTTGTTGTTGCTGCTGCTGCTGTTGCTTTTGTTGTTGCTGTTGTTACTGTGCTGCTGCTGCTGCTGGATGAGGATATCGAGGAGGTTGCGGAGGAGGAGTTACTAACACTGTAAGTGACGGTTTCAATATGCTCTTCAGCCGGCTTTTTGTTTGCCTTGTCAACGATTAATTCATCGAGATTGGGCGGCGGCTCTGTGTGGATGACATCCCTGAAGGGATCGGGTGTGGTGATTTCTGAAAGCAAGTGGAGAACAAGGGGAAATTTTCATTTAAATCTGGATAACAGTCATTGTCTCAATGTATTGCAATAAGCTCTATTCAAAAGTTAAATCGAAAGCTAAAGCAAGCAACTATAAAAATGTGTGTGATGTTGTACGCTTAGATTCCCGATAATCATTTATTTAAGCTATGCTGGCAGTTTATTTTTATTAGTTTAAAATATTTTATATATTTAAGTTTTCTAGCTTTTCATCTATTCTATACCCGCCTTATATACCCTTTTTTTTTTTAAGTTAATTTTGTTGTAATTTTAGTGAATATACTGGTATACGATTAATAGAATAAATATCCTAATATCGTTTTTTTTTAATGGAGGAATACTCTATATTGGTAAATATAAATTTTGTAAATAATATATGTGGCTTACCTATTATTTATTATCAATTGCTAATAGGGCTCACAAAAATACAAAACTTTTTAACTACTTTTTTACTGAGTGATATCTATGACAGTAATTGTAAATGAGAAAACTAAATGCATAATGCCACAAAAATGCCTAGCACCATTCTTTGTCTTCATAAGATAAATTTTGTCAGCTATAGGTACTTAGTACAGTCGAGTCCCGATAATTCGAAATGGCAAAGGATCACTTTTTTTAACGAATTAGACGGGAATTCGATTTATCGAGAGTTTTTTCAAGGGATTTTTTTTCAAGGGGACAGAATTTTTTACGAATTATCGCGATTTTCGATTTAGCGGAGTACGAATTATCGGGATTCGACTGTATTAGTAAAATAACGAAATCAATCTCACCTATCGAAGCAGTATCGTTTTGTTTCGCTCCCAATGTTGTGATATCGATAATGTGCTGCGTGGCATGGAAGCCATCCAGTAGTGGTCCGTTGATTCCACTGGAGGTGACGTGCTCCTGGAGGACTTCCCCGTCGATGACCAGTGGCTCCTTGGGCATGAATCCCCCTCGGTTTCGGTGGGCGGGGAGAACCCGTTGTGCGAAGGCGGCACCACCGGTGGATCGAAGTCAAAATTCACGTACGCAGCACTTCCCTCGTATTTCCCACCCACATGGACCACTGGTTCTGGAGCGGATTCCACGGCTGGCACTTCCACATTGAACTTGTACTTGTAGGAAGCTTGATCTGGCTGGGATTGCGAAAACATAGCCACCGAATCGTCAAGGGATTCGTAGCCGACCACGTCCATTTTATCGGTGGCAACCTTCTGCTGGTAGAAATTCTGGGGATACTTCTCCTTGGGAACCGTATCCACCGCATCGGTTGGCAGAAAAGGTATTATCTTCAGGTTGGGAAGACTGGGTGGCAAGGTGGGTTCACCATTTGTTTCCAGGGGCTCAGCTTCCAAAATACTCGGGTTGGTTTTAATCACCAGAGGTTTCGGGGTGCTTGTGATGTAAGGTTTGGGTTTTGGCTTAAATTTTGGTTTTCCAGTGGTTCGAATGGTGGTTATTGTTGTTGTAGTGGTTGTTGTTGTAGTTGTTGGTTTTGGAGTGGTAGAAATCGGAGTTGTGGGTTTTTGGGTGGTTGGTTTTAGAGTAGTGGGTTTGGGAGTTGTTGGCTTAGAAGTTGTGGATTTCGGAGTGGAAGGTTTCTGGGTTGTGGGTTTTCTTGTTGTGGGTTTCACTGTGGTTGTAGTTTTCCTTGTGGTCTTCGGCTTGGGCTTCACTGTGGTACTCGGTTTCAGTGAGGTTTTCACAGTGGTGTCCAGTGTTGTTCTCTGAGTGGTGGTAGCACTTGGCCTCTCTGTGATCTTAGCCACTGTGCCATTGACCCGCTTATCCGCAGTTCTGAAGGTCACCGGTTGACCATATTTGCTGGTCACCACCAACATGGGTGGTGTCACCGTGAGGTTGGCCAGCTTCGAGTTGATTCTGGTGTGAACGGGCTTGGAACTCGGCAGAGGTCTAAACATGGGTGGTGCATGCACAGTGGTTGGTCGTTCAGTGGTTGTGGTGGTGGTCGTCGTAGTCTGATTCAGTGGCTCCTCGAGAATCCCAGACAGCCCATCCATCAAGGCGTTGAACAAACTGGGTTCCTCTTTCTGAGGAGAAACCACTTCAGTGGCTGGTGTTGGCCAAATTCCGGCATTTGCCAAGTTAATCTGTTGCGCCTCCGCTGGCAGTTCACCCACTGCCATTTCCCCATTGTCCAACTGCTCATCGAAATCCTCGGCAATCCGTTTTATACTGTTGGTTGAAGGTTTAAGTTCTTCTGGTTGGTTTAAGGTGGTACTACTCTCTAAATAGGCTTCGGTTTTGGGATTCAAATCATCCTCATCTGGACCGAGTAGTATGTCCATCCAAGAAAGAGTGTTCTTAACCGTTGTGGATTCTGGTTGCCTAATCTGTTCCTTATCGGTTGTTTCTGTACTAGGTCCTAATAGCAAATCCAGAAAACTCAATGCCGTTGTGCTGCTCACTTCTTCACTGGATTCAGTTCGCATTTGAGGTGGAGCTTGGGTGGTTCTTATACCCACTAAATCCAGATTGTTGGCCAACATCTTGTTGTTGTTACCATCTATAAACTCAAGACCCTCGCGAAGGGTGTCCATAATGCTCTTTTCGCTACTGGCCTCCAGGGGATTCCCCATCGCAGCTCTCGTGGGATGACGATCATGGGGATATCTCTCTGCCATCGAATTTTGTGGTAATAAACCTCCTCCCTCCTGCGGATCAGGTTCATCCTTCCCAAAGAGCATGTTGTACAGATTGAACTGCCGGGAGTTGTGTGATCTGCGGTAATCCCGCTGACTGCCACAGTCGTAACTCGATGGACAGCACTGACCCTTCGGCACCACCGGAATGCAGTTCTTCAGAGCAGGGGAGCACTTCTTAGGAGCACACCTCCGGGTTCCCCGAATGCAGAAGCAAATGTCACAGGGTCTGTCCGCATCCGATCGCATCTTCTGACCCTCCGCGTAGAACTGCGATCCCACAGTGCAGCCTCGATTGCGCTGAAGGCGCTGCGACATCCGCTGGAAGTGCTTGTTCGAGTTCTTCCTGTAGCGCACCTCCTGCGAGGACTTCCCCGAGGTCTTGCTGCTGCAATCGTACCTCACGGGGCAGCAGGTGGAGTCCACGAAAATGGGTTTGCATCCCTCCACAGGCAACATGCACTTCGGCTTCACGCACTTTTCCGTTCCACCTGTTTGTTTAATTAAAGAAAAATGATCAGTTAAAATAAATTTTTTTTTATAAAAACATGCAACAAACTTGGAAAAATTGTTTTTATAAGCCTTACATTTAAGAAATTTAATGTACTGTCTATTTCAATATAATTCCTTTATTAATAGCTATGCATTTCGTAAAGTTAATTTAATTTAACTTGCAGTCTTTTAATAGATCAATAAATAAATAATATCAACGTAAAATAAATATTGTTATGATAGCATATTTTATTTTCGAACAATAAGTAGAGGGCTTAATTTACCTTACCTTTATTCTCTAATTTAAGATCTTTTAAAATATTAAAACAATGGAACTTAACTTCTTTAACCTGCCTTCGAAATAGTTGTATTGTTAAAAAGCAGGAATAAGAAAGTTTTCGATATACCTTATCTAATTCAAATCTTTATCAACCCGTAAATTATAAATAATTTATATTAAATCTTTATAATAAGTATGGTATGGTACCTATACTATTTATCTTTAAACTCACCTATGCAATAGCAGTAACTGCACAAATTCGATGATGACATAGCAGATCCCGACTTGTAAACAGTTCCGTTTTTCACACAAACTGCAACCAAAATAGTCGATTTAAAGAACAATCCTCCGATAAAATGTATGAGTTACTCACCAAAAAGATCGGTATCGGAATCATCGGATCGTCTTTGCAGCATGTTATCGTTTACCACGCGATCGATGGACTCCCTTTCGTAGTGATCCAAATACGCGATGATGCGGCGCTTGGTGGGAATCTTGTAGAAGGCATCCAATCTAGCGCAGGAAAGATATGGGCAGCAGGTGCTCTTCTTCTGGACCACCACACATCCTCTGGGCGGAGGCATCGGCATTTCGGGACAAACCTTCAGTCGACACACGAGTGTCTTTCGATTACATTGGCAATTCAGACACTTCTCCATGCTAGGAACCACCGACTTGTCCGCAAACCAAGTGCCATTGTGATGGCAGCCTAAGGCGAATTAAAATACAAATCAATCAGAGTTTTATCTTGTTATCCTATAGCTACCATAGAAACGCTGAACTTTGCCTAGGGTTCTGTTTTAATAGTATCTTATGGCTTTTTTTTAATGCAAATCCACTTAATACAATTTGTTTTTAACTACATATATTCAAAAACCAATCGAATGATTAATCGAATAAAATTGCTGTGGTTCATAAACTACATCTGCAATAAAAAGAATTTATAGCTCTATAAACTTTTCTTTATGATAGGTATTTTAAATAGTAAACCAAATTCTGAATTCAATATGCTCGAAGTTTATTGGTTTTAAACTAAAGTGCCCAATAAATGCGATTGGGGTAATTGTTTAGTTTTTCGTAGTGGAAGGAACAGAAGGATTCGATGCATTCGATGGCGTATCCTACATGAAATTGCCTTTGCTTCATGAATTTCAGTTCTGCCCTTTGGGGATTGTTGAATTTAGAGGCTCATGCTCCCCAACTTGTCACTTCGGTGGGTGAAACTGCGATTCTGATTGACTTTTGAGCCAGAGACCCGCCATCTATCCATTGTGAAGCTCTGATACGGAGCCAAAAAAAGTCGCTGAGGGGATTGCAAGCCAGATGCCGTGATGTTAGTCACTCTGCCCTCGGGTTTTGTCCGCTGGGACTCATGTGTGGCAGTTTGAAAGGGTATCCTTGAACTAGCAGGACTCCAATTCTGTCCGAGATTCAAATTGAATTGCGGTGACCACATGCCGCTTGATTGGAATAATAATTGATGTGTAACAGCAGGAACCTAACAACTTCTTGTGGTCAAGTGGGCGTTAGTTTTGTAGTTTGTTTAAAAACTATGTTTTGTGTAACGAGATTTAGGTATCTCGGGGGAAAAGTTTTTTATTGTATAAAAATAGCTGTGGGAAGTATAATTCACAGCTCACTTTTAAGGTATTAGCTTCTAAAATTGTTGGTTATCCGTTTTTAAAAATCGGTAAAGTATATTCTTCTTGTTTTATTACTCTGCTCCCTGATAACTTATAAATTTTATTGCAGAATTAATTCAAACAAGAAACATCAATGCCAATTTAATGATAAGAAAATCCTGCAAGTAGTTTTGAAACATTTACATCGGTTTTAAAAGTTAACTAACTATTTAATTAGTAACAGTGATAAATAATTTCATTGTTTTTAAGATTGTAGGGTAATATAATTTTGTTGATGACAAAGGTAAATAGGATAACTCTGGTATTACGACATATAACATCTTCCAATTATTTATATAACCGTGGTCTTCAATAATTTTTAGTTTTTCCCAGCGGCGTTCCCCTCAAACTAGACTCATAATCCTGACAAATGAACTCAAAATATTCGACACTGAATTTTCCGCTTCACCAGCGACTTTTCCGTTGCTCAGCCAAAAACCGTAGACTCAACATAGAGCTCACCCATTGCCACACATTTCACAGACATTTGCCGCTTCTTAGCTTTTCCAGCTGCAACTCCCCAGCAACTCCCCAGCAAGCCATCTTCTGTACTCACCTGTGTTCGGTGTGATAAATGCATCCAGCTGTGCGGTCCAGAGGAGCAGCAGAGCCGCCGATAAAACGCTGACTAAGCGCGGAGTCATCTTCGCTTTATTCCCGTTGCGTGGATGCCGCCGAAGAGCATGAATAATGCAGCAGAGCCGACTTTGGATAGGAGGTTGGTCCCCCCACTCCAACTACTCCCCTTTGGTGTATCTTATATATATATATATATAAGTTTGTATATATATATAGTAGTTATCTGGCAGGGCCACACTCTGAACCGACTTGTCTGCCGAAGTCCAACTCTAATGCTCCGAATGTGTGTCACGCAGAGGCAACTTTCGAATGACAGCGGCCAACGGTGCGCATGCCCATTTGGCTGGGGCCAAATTAAGCCGAGCTGGAAATTACCCGCACAATTTGCTCTAACATTGCCACAGGTCGTCCCGTCGACTCGTCGCTCGTTGCCAAAGTTCTGCCACACTTTTAATGAACCATAGATACGTAGACGCGTCGGTCGAAATGGAAAATTCGCCTCGTTCGCTTCGCAGCTGCAAAGATGGGAAAAGCGGGGAAAAAGATGTGGGTAAGTGGCGGTCATTAGTGGTACGTTGTTGGATAATGTTGGCACAGCCATGCAACAGGTTGCCGGGGCCAACTACTTTATTTGAATAAACTTCGCAGCGAGCCAAATTAACTTGGCTTCGCACTACAAGATGTGCTACAGATTGAAGAGATTAGGTAAGAAATCTTAAACAAACAACTAAGGTAAAAGCTCGTGTTGGTTTAGACAGGGTCAAGAACTTGTATACTTGAGTAAGTAAGCCAGGTTCTTATACAAACAGAACATAAACTGCTCATAAAACAAATTAAGCAATTAAGTTAACCAGAGCAGATCTTGAATTCAGCCAAGTTAAACAAATAAATGAAATTGTAAAATAAAAATGATAATTCTAGCTTACATCCGTTTTTTTTAAATTATTATATTATATTATTTATATTTTCATAGTTTATAAATCTTTAAATGGAAAGTGGGTTTGAAATACTTAACCTTTCATAAATCAAACTAACCAACGTTGTTATCAATCCACTGGATTAAAGGCTTAAATAGTAAATTCACTTAAAGCGATTTCTATTTCGATATCTTTAGCTTTCCATTCTCACTTAATCCCCTGCAAACCTTGTTAAAAAGAAGAAGTATCTGAACACGAAACAGATCTCTCAGTATTTCCCCGTTAATTCCCCAATAACTTCACACAACTTTATCGGTTTGTTTATCCATTTTCCCCAGCAGCTCGAGAGCTTGGCATAAATACTCACACGGAAATGGGCCAAACGCAAATGCTGCCAAAATCCATCAATAAATACACAAATAGAGGCGGCAATGGAGCCTCAGTGACACCGAACCGCAGTCATAAATAATATCACTCAAAATGAGAGAGGTGCCCGAAGAACTGGTCTGGCCGAAGAAAAGCTCCGTCGCAAGAACTCACTTCACACTCCTCAAAGTCTTCGGCCAGACGAGAGTTGCATGCAAACGCAACAACTGGAAAACAGCCAAACAAACAAACACGAAAGTCAAATAGATTCTGGCGAATGGCGGTCATTGCCAGCGAAGGATCCACCGACCGCCAGACTTCTGGCCACCGACTCGGCCAAGAATCATTCCCACTGCCACGGGCAACAACCAAGAGCCAACAGCTAACAGCAAAGAGCCAACTAACCACACACAACAACCCGGCTAACAACAAACTACAATGTTGTCCACCGACCAGCCAACCACTCAGGAGAACTGGCCACTGCAGCCACTTTCATTAAGAACGTGATTAGCAGCGAAACTCACTGGCATGCAAATGCAAACGAAAACTCAGCACAGAACACTGCAGGATTTCTGCCATAGAAGAAGCTTAGATACCCTGGAAATCCATAAGGAGATGGTTGTAAATTTAAGTCCGAGGAAAGCTATGAACATTTAAAACAGTTGAGAAATAAATTAACCAGCTACTAAGATAATACTAAATGGTATTATGAGTGCTCTAAAATAATACAATAAAAAATTAACTAAAACCAAGTTGAATAAAAATAGAATAACATGATATATTTTAAAGATCACTATCAATATGAATCAATAATCAAAATGAATTGAAAATTTACTGTTCAAGGAATTTGGCACTGTTGGTTGTACAAAAATTGTAATTTGTAAGGTTCGGTAAATTAAGTAAATTTAGCTATAATTGTAATTCAACATTATTGTATTTGGTATTAAACTATTATAAATATAGAAATTTTAGGAACAGAGAAAGATATAGTTTTTGAGTATGCATCGTAATTTTAAAACGCTTATTCTGCATTTTAATATGAGAAAAAACTCCGCAGTATTTTGTAATTTACAATAATTTGAATATACGTAATTTTCACAACTTGGTTCTTATATAAAACAATAGTTATTCTTAGGAATCTTACAAACTTTTAAACTTGGTTCTTAAAATATTTTAATTAAATTGGTTTGATCTACAAAATATGTTCATTAATGTATACAAATAACTCACGCGGCGTAAGATTTATTTAAGGTGCTTATTTTATAACCAGGAAAAGCCATCACCGAGCTAGAATACCCCAGTGGATGGCAGCTTGGGTGCAGTGAGCTTCCTCGCTTAATTGGAGCTCTCTTTGCATACTGGAATGGCGGGTCCATCTTTTGGCCTTGCACAATTCAGTCGCAGTTGGTTCTCATGACAACTTTTAATCAAGTCATTATCTGAATGCCAGGCTACGGGAGATCTGTGCTGGAGAAACTTTCACGGGGAACGAAAAAAAAAAAAAAACAAAAAAAGCAGAAGTCACAGAATAATTCCAAACGGCAAGCACCGAAAAGAATTTCGGTTTCACACAATAAATCAGCGGCAGTTGACTTTTATTTTGCTTTGGCTGGCTCTGCTTTTAATTGAGAGCCACTTGAGGCTCATTTGCATGCCAGCCCCGTGTACTTGGCCATGAAAATTGAGGCTTAGAACTTGGGAAACTTCGGCCTGCAGTTGAAATGGATGTTCAAACGGTTGAAATGGATGGCGGGGAAAGCTCTCTTTCGCTGATTTTGGCCCAGGGCCTGAAATTGCAGCTGGTGAAAACCGCCAGCTTAATTACGGATTTTCCGAAAGCGATTTGCATCGGGGCCTGGCCAACATATAATTCCATTCCATAATTTCCTCGGAGGAAATCCAGCTTGCCACGCACTCGCAGATAATATCGAGAATCTCCCCGGGTGAACCACTACTATATACATATATTTAGAACGTGTGTAAGCCCGGTCGCCTCACAAATAAATTACAGTAATTACACGGCAAAGACAAAACCAAACCAAACCAAATAGAACCGAGGCGAAAGAAAGCGAGGCTGTGGGAGCAAATGCCACTCAGGTGTCCGAGCCAACACAACACAACACAAGAACCTCTATAATGGGGCCAAGCAATTACGCCCAGACAACTTTATTTATATACCTACACTTTTTTTGTGGCTTCACCATGCACTGAGCGAAATTAATCAAGCGATTTATTGGTCTGCCCCTGGGGTTTCGAGCGAAAGTGTTTAAATTAAGAAGTCCCCGATTGCCCGATTAGTTAATCACAATGAAGAGTTCGCTTGATGGAGTCAACCCAGTTTTCGGGGCCTTCGAAGAAATTAAAAGTTTTTAGGGTTTCAGTTTCATTAACCCAGATGGAAGGGTTTGTAAAGAAGTTACTTGACAATGGATTTAGGAGAACCACCAACGAACTGTAAATTAAGGATTTTAGAATTTCTCCATTGAAATCAAGCCCACTGAACTTTGGCAATCAATTCATTTAGAATAAAAAAACAGTAATAAAACAATCATAATACCGTTTAAAAGTTTGCAGTTAAGTTATTAACTATTTGAAAATATGTGAAAATATTAAAGGAGGATGTAAATATTATTCATGAGAAAATATGAATTCAATATCGTTTCATTTTATTTATGAGCTAAAATTGTTATTATAATTTTTGCTTAAATTGGAAACATAATTATTTTGTAAAACGTATATCAAGTTAAGCAAAGGAATGCAAGCTTCATGGAAAAATCATAAATAATATATTTTAAAACAATAAATAATTTGAATGCAAGTTCCCACACATTAACCCAAAAATTAAATCAAATTCTAGTTTCCCTGCCGCATGTAACATCTTTGTTCAGCCAAAGTGAAGATACACATGTTCGGCATAGAAATCAACCCAATTAACTAGTTCGACTGTCCCGAATCGCCACAAAGCCACTTGTCTGACAATAAATTCGCTATTTGAGCCAAAATAGCGCTCGCAGTGGAAATGTAGCCGTGACATCGATTCGGCAACAATAAAATTGGGTATTGAGCATTCGCATCTGATAGATACTTTGTTGGCTATTTCGACCGACCAAACGACCGAGCGACTGAGCGTTTGACACAGTAGCAACGCCCCACTGACAGATTTATTTATCTGGCTTTTCGGGAAGGCGATGGAGAGCACTCCCTCCATATTTGGACGTTGATTTGTGAAAGGCGAAAAGCAAAATCGAAACTCGAGTGCAACATTTTGCGTTGTTTTCTCGGCCAGGTCTCTGTTTTGTTTTGTGACTACTGGGCATATTTTTGGGCGCATTCTAAACTTATAATTTGTAACAACTTTCACCGGGCGATCGTGGCGAGCACAACTAGCACTTAGGATTATGTAAATCTCGCCCAAGCAGAAAATCCAATAACAATGGCAGCTCCGATGAAAAAGAAGGAGGAGGCGGAGGTTCCGATGGAAAGAGAAACACTGCGCCCGAGATTCAGATCTGGGCCTATTTTCACTTTTGCAAATTGTCTTAGAACACGGAACACGAATAGAAATCGAAGTCAGTGCGAGTCAATAAGCGATCATTGTGAATTAAAACGTGAGCATGACTACTACACTGGTCAGCAAAAATCAGTTGCTTGATCCCATTCTTCTTGGTAGAATAAACAAGGCCTACATGTTATTTACTTTTAAAGGTATTTCAAGACCAGTTAAAGAAACTGAGACCTTATTATCTTTACAATTAAGCACGTTTAAGTTGTTTATTAATTTTAGTTGTTCTCCCAAAATATAATATGTATAATATAGATATTTAAAGTGATTTTATGATAATATTACTTACCACACAAACATTTATTCTGTTACCTTTCAACGGACTTTCTGTTTTTTCCTCCTGATTATTTTAAATAATTATTTAATTTCTACTATCAATAGTGCGTATAACAAAAGAACAAACGATAAGAACATTAACTACTTAAAGCAATAATTGGCATTCAAGTGTAAATCGTCTTTCCTCTCTCAACAGTTTGTAATACTTTTAATAACCACATTTGCATACAAGCTCATATGAGCGGCTTCATCATAGAGTGAAATTTGTGTCATCATAATTGAAGAATGCCAACACGCTTCAACATCAGTTTCACAGCAAGAAAATAAATTTGGCAATACTCGAGCCATTGAAATTATTCCAGCACAAAGCACATGCCAAGCTACTCTACTCTAA